CATGGGACACTGCAGGAGGGGATGGGGTCAATGGTCACCATCATCCTGACTTCAATGAGGTATAGTGCATCATGATGGTTGGTGTGGCTATGGCCTGGGGCTCAGTGGGTAATACAGAGATGAAGATGTCTATAAAAGAATTAGGTGGAGACAAATGGAATCTCAGAGCTGATGGTGTCAATAGGGAGTGCAAGGAAGAAAAGAACATGAAAGGCAGGCGTCCTCCATATTACCCAAATGAGCCTGTGACCAGTGCACCCTGTAATTTTATTTGCTGCTGCACGGAACTCTAAGATCTGACTGTGCCAGAGTTTCTAAAAACCTAGGTGTGGTGCATACGTATTGAGGTGAGCAGCAGAGAATCGCCGACAGAAATCCTCGAAAAGTGACACTTAGCCAATTTTTCGGTACAACTCAACCCAACGTTCCAGACTATGACTTTCCATCAGAACTAGAAACATTTAAAGATGTGGTCAGTTTTGAGGAAATGCAGAGGCAGGAAAATAGTTGCAACGAAGCAAGGAACAAAAAGGAAGGACTTGATTAAGGCTGAGTTAGACAATTTTTGATTGACAAGGGAATAGAGAGTAATGAGAAACAGGAAGCAAGTGAAGTCATGGCAACATCAAATCAACTCTGTAAAAACCGAAATGTTAACTTTGTAAAAACCGAAACGTTAACTATGTAAAAACCGGAACGTTAACTCTGTTTTTTCCTTCACAGATGCTGCCAGACCTGCTGGGCTTTTCAAATCAACTATGGTCTTATTGACTGGTGCAGGTTTGAGAAGAAATTGGCTTCCTCCTGCTCCTATTTTGTTCCTATGACTTCCCATTCTTTAGACACATGTCCTGGCTGCCTGCAATTTAAAACTACCTTCCATCAGAGAGGGGCAGGAATGGGGCAAACCAATAGTTTATTATTGAGTTGCTTTCCCTTCACACCAAGTTAATCTGGTTGCTTTGAAAATAATTTGTTACTCACATACACAAGGATCTGAAAATAAAATAAAACTTAATGATTCTGGTTCTGCATCATGATGTGGCTACAAACTTGTTCCATTTAGACTATAGATCTGAACCGCAGGAGTGAGTCTTTCTGGCTGTAAATCTCATACACACGCATTCATTTAGTTGGCATGACTTTTTGATTCTCAACACAGACCAGAATATCAGAAGGAAATTAAACAACATTACTGGGCCTGGGTGGGCAGAGGGGTTAGCCAGTTAGCATTCAAAGCAACATGGCTGCACCAGGATCCAATATTTCCTGTGCTGCTTAGTTACAGTATTCACAGCTGCAGAGAATTAAAATGTTTGGCATGGTGCTGCCTCTTTTTCTCGTTCACACACCACATTGTACATATTACAATATTTCTCCTGAAAGTAGGGCAATTTCTCGTGGTTACAACATAATGTGAGTGCAACAAAGCCACAGAAAGAAAGAGTTGTCCACTTGCATTATTTTGGTGAGACTTCTGACCTACATTTTCCTTGCTACAAATCCAAGAATACATCTATGTCTCTCCCCAGCTCTTTACAATTGGTGGTAAGTGTTTGTGTCATGGGGTACAGTATTAGCAATCAAAATACGGCACAGTGGCTCAGTGGTTAGCACTGCTGCCTCACAGCACCTGCAACCCAGGTTCGATTCCACCCTTGGGCGACTGTCTGTGTGGAGTTTGCACATTCTCCCCGTGTCTGCGTGGGTTTATTCAGGGTGCTCTGGTTTCCTCCCACAGTCCAAAGATGTGCAGGTTGGATGGATTGGCCTTGCTAAATTGCCCTTAGTGTACATGGATGTGTAGATTAGGTGGGTTACAGGGGGATGGATCTGGGTGGGATACTGTGAGGGTCGGTGTGGACTTGTTGGGCTGAAGGGCCTGTTTCCACACAGTAGGCATTGTCAACAACCACCCTATGACAGCTACTGACAAACGTAAAGGACCCCAAGCCCGAAACTGGGGTAATATACAAAATACCGTGCAAGGACTGTGAGAAACCCTACATAGGCCAAACCAGCGGAAAATTGACAAAACGGATACACGAACAACAACTAGCCACCAAGAGACATGACCAATTCTCACCTGTCTCACGGACAATGAGAGACAAGAATTCGACTGGGACCACACATCGATGATTGCACAAGCCAAACAGATACACGCCAGGGAATTCCTGGAGGCCTGGCATTCCAAACGGAACTCCGTCAACAAACATATTGAATTAGACCCTGTGTACAAACCACTGAGAAACAAAACCCGCAGTAATACCAACCACACCAGCAAACTGAGGCATATAAATAACAAGTGGGACAGAACACCGACGCTTCACTGGAGACGCACTGACGATGTTACCTAGCAGGGTGACGACATTTTTGCAACCAAACCCACCGGCTCGGCGGACATGTCTACAACCTCATCCACAACCTGAGCTACAAATCTTCTTGAAAACTTATAGACCGGTGAGCCTGATATCAGTGGTGGGCAATTTGGAGGGAATCCTCAGGGACAGGATTTATGTGTATTTGGACTGATTAGGGATAGTCAACTTGGCTTCGTACGTGGGAAATCATGTCTCACTAACTTGATTGAGTTTTTTGAAGAAGTAACAAAGAGGATTGATGAGGGTAGAGCGGTGGACGTGATCTATATGTGAGGCGTTTGATAAGGTTCTATATGGTAGATTGACCAGCGGTGTGCCACAAGGATCAGTACTAGCTCCACTGATTTTCATCATTTATGTAAATTATTTAGATGTGAACACAGGACACATGGTTAGTAAGTTTTCAGATGACACCAAAATTGGCAGGATTGTGGGCAACAAAGGTTACCTCAGAGTACAACAGGATCTTGATCAGATCGGCCAATGGGCCAAGGAGTGGCACCTGGAGTTTAATTCAGATAAATGTGAGGTGCTGCATTTTGGAAAGGCAAATCAGGGCAGGACTTATACACTTAATGGTATGGTCCAGGGGAGTGTTACTGAACAAAGAGACCTTGGAGTGCAGGTTCACAGTTCCATGAAAGTGGAGTCGCTGGTAGACAGAATAATGAAGAAGGCTTTTGGTGTGCTTGCCTTTATTAGTCAGAGCATTGAGTATAGGAGTTTGGGAGGTCATGTTGTGGCTATACAGGACATTGGTTAGGCCACTTTTGGGATACTGCCTGCAATTCTGGTCTCCCTGCTACAGGAAAGATGTTGTGAAACTAGAAAGTGTTCAGAAAGGTTTTACAAGAATGGTGCCAGGGTTGGAGGGTTTGTGCTATGGGGAGAAGCAGCATAGACTGGGGCTATTTTCCCTGGACCATCAGAGGCTGAGGAGTGACCATATAGAAGTTTATAAAATGATGAGCAGCATGGTTAGGATGAATATCCAAGGTTTTTCCCTGGGGGTGGGGGAGTCCAAAACTACAGAGCATAGGCTTAAAATGAGAAGAGAAAGATTTAAAAGGGTCTTAAGGGGCAACTTTATCACACAGAGTGTGGTGCATGTATGGAATGAGCTGCCAGAGGAAGTGGTGGAGGCTGGTAAAATTACAACATTTAAAAGGCATCTGGATGGGTATATGAACAGGAAGGCTTTAGAGGGATGGGCCAAATGCTCGCAAATGGGACTAGATTTATTTAGGATATCTGGTTGGCATAGACGAGTTGGACTGAAGGGTCTATTTCCATGATGTACATCTCTATGCTTCAATGACTCTATATGACTATGCCAGGATGGACAGTGGCAAAATATGTTGATCTTTCACTTAATTAACATAGATTAGTCATGCAATTCTGCAGGCTGTAGAATCTCTTGGTCACAGTGGTATAAAATACTCTACTCTTATATATTTATCCATATAGGATTATGAATTGTTAAATCTCAAATGGTTAATGTTTTTGTTTACATTTATAAATAACTTGCTGATATGTACTGTAGCTAGAAATAACGAGATTAATTTTGCATTTTTTTGCAGAATTATGAGTATACCTGACATTTAGCAACAGAAAGCTTTGTCAGCAAGGAGAGGTCTTTTGTTTACAGGGAATGATTATTAGGGATCAGCAGTCTCTCTAAAAGAGTAGTCTATATTACAAATGAAAAGCACAATGATCAAGGAATCAATTATAAATCAGATAAACAACTCCTTTTAAGGGAAGCCTGTCCACAACTAGAACCCTATTGAGATATTTACTATAAGCTTTCTTTCACATTTCACCCAGAGAAAGAAAAGAGAGTTTTACCCAATGTGAAAGCTGCCAATGTGATTTGTTACTGTCTGACAATTCCTTTATACTTTAACGTGTTAACTTTAATAAAGACCAAATTGGTGTCAAGGTCCAGAACCTTACACTGACAAGGTAAAGGAGTTGCTGGGTGATTGGACAAATGGGTGTGAGTCACTGGAAATCACTTTTAATTCTTTCGAGAGACGTCATAGAAAATGTTTTTTCGTTGTACTTTCTATTATCTCCCTAACCTTGATACTTCCTGCTTGTTATTCATTGCTCCCATTCTAAATTAAATATCCTTCTTGTTTTATTGCAATCAACATTTTCGATAAGATTCTCCAGGCACTAGTACGAGTTAAGTAGCTGGCTATATTTTATTGCTTTACTCAACTTTCTCATATAAAGCGATTTTACTGAACAAACTCATTCTTGCATCCAAAAAGAACTTAAAAGTTATGTCATGTTCATGCCATTAGTTTTAATCTCACATTCAGTTCCACTGATTGATGGTTTAACATTCTACTGCAACCACAGTTATTGCAATAGTGTAAATATCAGGGCTGTGGAATCGAGCTATGCTTTGCCACCGGTGCTAGTCCTACAGAATCCCTATAATGATGGAACTGTGCATGAAGAGCTTCCAGCCACTTCTGACATAGTCCCTGTGGTGCTTCATACCTGTACTTGGAAAAGGGTTAGCACAGACGTGGCTATGTGTGGCAGATGCTTGTGAAGTGGGAAATTTCTGACATCAATCAGCTGTTCTGGCTGGTTTGTCACATGTTCTTTTCTTGGATGGAGCTGGTTCAGTGAATGCCTGTGCTAATCACTCCTGGCTGATTGTGTGTTCAGTTTCACGAGGGGCTCTCGCTGTGTCCCATCAGTGCTATTTAAGGGGCCAACCATCCAGTTTCATGGTGAGATACTTTTGATTAGCTTCTGCCACTGCTGTTTTATAGGAAGTACTATGAAGTGTGATGTGGATTTTTACCTCCAACCAGATATTTTACCTAAGTAGCAATGCTTATAATATAACACATCACTTAGGAAGTGGATGTTGATTTCATGGTATTGAAAAATCTAACAGACATTTTGTCAGGTGTCATTTACAGTCACAGGCTCAGAAGTGTCTGGGCTAGCATCAAGCTATTAAATTTCAAAGAGCAGCATGCCTCTTGCAATGTGTCATGCTTCACATGATCCTTATTACGATGGAATATGTAATCTTTATATCCTTAGTTCATGTACTACAATACAGTGGTGATTTAATGATATGTTTTTTAAAGGCACACTAACAGTGAGACATCCTTCTTTTTCCAAAGGTGAAACATTTCCCAGGCAGATATATATGACTGTAGATAGCATGTGTTGTTAATTCAATAATTGTACAAATAGCTAAAACAGAGTTTACAAGGCTAACATTTCAAACTTCTGTGTAACACTTTGGAGGTTGGACAACTTGTCCTGATCTGGTGATCTTTAGACTAATTTGGAGGGGAATGCATTGATGTCAGATGCATTTGTTTGTGATCTTAGTGTCACTCAGCATCTCTGCACACTCATCATCCTTGGAATGTTCTTTCTCACTCTTTCTTTATGCATGATTGGAGTATTGTTCCGAGCTGGATTCTGTTCCTTTGCTTGATGATCTGTGATGCCTTTTGTATTATCTGGACTGGTTGCACGTTCTAGAAATATTTGCTGACATCCAAGTGTTTATACTTCTAACTCACACTGTCTGCCCAGTGTGCAGTGTTGGCTGCACGTAAAGTATGCACCTACCTACACGAGGACAACAGTCAGACAAAGAGAATCCTATTGCCACCAGAGATCCTGGAACAGACTATTAACTCTTCAACCAATGGTCGCACTGTCTGGACAGCTGGTGGGCTCTTCAGTTTTCCCTGGACTGTGTCTCCAAGTTCATTGTAATCTGCTACACCTGTCACAATGTCATTCTGAGTGTACAACTCTGGTCACCAAGGAAATGGAAAAGAAAGTGGATAGAAAAAGGAAAAAATTGCATTTGTAAAGAATAATTCACAACCACAGGATGTCTCAAAGCTTTCTACAACCAATTAAATGCTTTTGATTTGCAGTCACTATTGCAATGAAGGGAATGCAGCAGCTAATTTGTGCATAGCAAAATTTCACAACAGAAAATAATGATGTTTTAGAGCTATTGGTGGAGGGATAAATATTGGCCAAGACACTGGTAATAACACTTCTGCTGTTGATTGAAATAGTGCGATGGGAGCCTTCACATCCACCTCAGCAGGTAGCTGGCACCTTGGTTTAAAGTCTCACCTGATAGGTAGCTCCTACAACAATGCAGCATTCCCTCAGTACCACTTCATTTCTATGCTCAAATCCTGATGTGGGACTTGAACCGGGAACACTGTGACCTAAAGCCAAGAGAGCTTCAGCTGTGGCACAGTTCTGGAGGCAGAGGAAGGGAGCCAGAATTCCTTTGGTCCAGGCACTCCTGAGACTTGCTCCAGAGTTTGTGGTTGGACTCCTCTGTTGGTGAACTGGCACAGATACTTGGCTGTAGCCCACCTGTGCCTGGTAACCCACCACACAATGCTGCCTCCTAAAGTTTGCCAAGTGTCAATGTCGGAGCTGGTGATTGTGCAATTCAGATCAAACTGTGGTGCTTTTTCTTAGCAATGGTGCAGTGTTGCTCATCCCCTTCAGCCTGAGACTGGGCAACAGCTAGTCTAGGGTGTCTTGGTGAGGCTTTTTTAAATTCATTCATGGGATTTGGGAATCACTGGCCAGGCCAACATTATTGCTGAGCTTTACTTGCACTGTTGAAAGTGGTGAAATGAGGGATGATGGGAAGGTGTAGGAAAGAGATGAATGGCCAACTCTATTCTGCTTAATTTTGTGATTGTGTTCCAACTTGTCCAGTAAAAAGGAAGGAAGAATATCAGAGATTGTGCTGCATGGTAAATGGCTAATGTAACTACCATGGCTGGAAAGCTGAAGGAATGTGAAGCTATGAGAAGTAGATGTGAGTCTAGCATTATTGGAAAGGTGTGTGAGGGCAAGGTCGACCATGAGAACGTTAGACCCAAGTCCAGACCACTAGCAACTGCTAATGATTAAAAGGTGGTATGGTGCATTGAGCAGCTTGAGAGGCTGGGAGGAATGATGAAAGTGTTCTTCGAACTCACTGACATTGACTGTCTCCACGAGGTAATTGAACTTAATCCAGCACTCCTACTTGGTTCTTGTAGTTAAATAATGAGCAATGATCTCTGTAGGCACCTTCTGCTATTCCCTTTGTAAGGTATTCATTAAAAGCCAGTTGGGGACCCCCTTTGGAAATATAGCATTCCTCCTGCTGTTAGCACATGTCTTTAAGATTTCCCATGATGAATTTGTGAGTTTGGAAACGCTCTCTCTTGCTTGGAGTTCCTTCTGCTTAGCTCCATTTGCAGGTAATTGCACCCCAGGCAGCCAACAGTGGCTTCCTTGCAATGGAAACAGCCCCCACTTTGGGACAGGTTGCCTTTAAGTGATGGAAACTAGCTGAAATTTGTGTAAACCCCCCACTGGACCTCTGGAGCTAGCCAGGTTTGCATCCTGCTGAACATTACAATCATTCTAATGCAGAGGAAGCACAGAGTTTACACATTGCCTGCCTCAAAGTGACTGGGCAGATTGTAGTTCATGGTCATCACAACTTAAAACATTTTTTACCCTAACCTAATTTTCTTTGTTCTTCTTTCTTGGCCTCATTTTACCCAAACTCTGAACTTCTGAGCTCATGATGCTTAACCCATTCCAAGCGCTGTGGAAAGAAGAACTAACATCATTCCATGCTAATGATTCATTAGACTTCAAAGAAACGGTACTAGCATCACACTGGTACTTGGAGGAAAACTGAAGCATTAAGCATTTATAACGGTTCTTTGTTCTGCTTGAAACCACAGTTGTTATTGACATTTATCTCAGATGCCAAGATTGTATATAACAAGGCAGAGCTTGAGCATGAATGGAAGTGAGTAGTATTACCCTGCTGATGAAAAGTCACACTACCCACTCTTCTGGTCATCAGAAAGTCTTGACAGCTTTATAAATTTCCCTTTCTGTACTGCAATTTCAGCCTCGTTTCTATGGTAGCACTCTTGCATCTTGAGTTGTAAGTTGAGTTCTTGACTCATGTCCTCCTTGAGTGCAAAATCTAGTCTGGCACTGCAGCAGTGAGAGAGTGTTCTATTGTTGAAGGAGCCAGCTTTTTCATTAAGATCTTAAGCCAGGGACAAGTCTGTTCTGTCAGGTGAATGTAAAGTTTCCCATGATACTATTTCAAAAAATGGATTATACTCCCTGGTCAAAACTTATCTCTCAACTGACAGCGCTAAAAACAGATTATTTGATTTGCAGTGTGCAATTTGATGACCACATTTCCTACATTCCAACAGTAACTACACCTCAAAAGGTAACACCTTGTCTGTAAAGTATTTTGGAATGTTTTGATGTTGCGAAAGGTGCTACATAAATGCAATTTATTCCTTGTTAGTTCCCAATTTAGCTTCTCATGAGGTGAGATAAGTCACTGAAAATCAATTATATTTCCAGACTGGAAGGAACCAGAATGAAAGCTTATATCAGTCTGACTTTGCCTTTCTACTTTTACAGACGCTCTGTTAATAGAAATGCAGCTTAATATGTTTAAAGGAGTGTGAAGTTAAAGAACACGTTTTTCTGCAGTTTGTCTGATGCCTGAAGGTAGAATTAGAGAGATGACTTTCAATCTTTTTGTTGCCTCTTTTTTCCTTTGTTTATAATTTCCTCATTGCTGGGCTCTGTTGCAATACAGATCTGTGGCCAGTAGTCACCCTCTGGTTGCTTTCCTGGTACCTGGTAGGCAAATGCAATGGGACTTTGGACAGTGAAGGCAGAATTATACCCTCCCTGGAGGTGGCAAGAAGGGGAAATAATTAGATAAGTTAGCACTGATGAGATACTTGCCCCTTTCTTGCTACCTCGCTTACCTCCTCACCACTACATTGCCCTGAAGAGTAGGCCTTGATTGGTGGGTGGTCTTTAGGAGTTCTGGCACCGAGTTTGCTGAATGGAGACCTATAGTCTAGACTCAACATGTTAGCTTGGTCTCTCTCCATGGATGTTGTCTGACCCGCTGTGATCTCCAGCATTTGTTGTTTCCCCGACTTATGCTCTGCCTGTCAGCCCCTAATGGGTTGATTGGCGTGCAATATGGCATATTATCTTGGTCACCACCTATTGACAGAAAAGCTCACTGTCATATTTTTGAAAAAATTAATTGAACAAATTGTAACTTGGGAAGCACTAGGTTATTACACTTTCACAGTCAAATATGACATGCTCATTGCTGGTATCCGCATCGCCTCGTTTAGGGAAGCGGGAGCTCTGTGTAACTACCATACAGCTAAAACGAATACATTCAGAATAAGTGCCAATGGAACTAATAGTAAAAAGTACTTGAATTGCTAGGGTCTGCTCGTTGGGATGGCTATGAGATTGTGGGTATAACTACACAGTCATTGGCACCTGTACACATCTCGAACAGAATTTGCAGCAACTTATGCTAGGACTAGAGGGCATATCTTTAAAGTGAGAGGAGAAAGATTTAAAAGGGACCTGAGGGGCAACATTTTCACACAGGGGGTGGTTCATATGTGGAATGAACTGCCAGAGGAAGTGGTAGATGCAGGTTCAGTTACGACATTTAAAAGACATTTGGACAGGTACATTAAAAGGAAAGGTTTAGAAGGATGTGGGCCAAACACAGGCAAGAAGGACTAGTTTAGTTTGGGAAACTTGGTTGGCATGGACTGGTTGGACTGAAGGGTCTGTTCCTGTGCTGTATGACTTTATGACTTTATGTCTACTTTTCTATACTCCGTCCATTCAAACAGTCTAA